GTAGGAAAACGCTATCTCCCAGAGCCACAATTTGATCGGCCCGCAGAAGTGCTGGTTCAACGTTTTGACCTGGTTCATCAGTTGTTAAATTCGTTTTTAGCTTTTTGCTTGGTCCGCAACCCATGGTTATTAGGACTGTGGTCTATACGTTACGAAAGAAACGTTTTTGAGAACCAAGAAGCGGTGTATGGTTTGGAAGTATCGATAGGTCCATGCCTGTTTTCGCTCAATATTATCATGGTCGTACTTACTGAATGCTCTCAACGGCGTGATGTCTCGATACTGTTACCACGTAATACCGCTTAATACCACCAAAAGATACAGCTCGACCATCATCAAACACAACATTATATTTCTTTCTTTTCTCATCAAAATACGAAATGTGAACGGCATGGTCTGTATTAGAGATGATAGTTTTGCTTTCAAGTCCTCAATTCGATCCAAGAGATGTTAAATCATTTTCATATTGTATGCTGCAATTCGACTGTAATCAACGTTAAGCTGTGTTTTGGCTGGTTCAAACGATAGGACTTCGCCTTCCTGAATATCCTCACGATAGAAAACACTGATTAAATCGGTTAGGTGGGCTGAGACAAGGTCTTGAGCTACGAGGCCCACCTCTTCACCAGGTCTATTTTCTGATTCAATCCATTCATACAAAACTACATCACAATTATCGTAGAGTCTTTTGATGCGTTCGAGCGGACACGATTGAATTTTCCTCTTCAAACTGTGGTCACTCGTCATCGTCATGGCTGTACAGGCAATGTATCCTCCGAATATACCCGCTACTGAATATGTGATCGGGCCAAGAGCGGATTATGTAGCTCCACTATCTGTTCTGAGGCGATACACTGTCGTTCCGCCTGCTCCAAAAACAAAAAGGTTGCTGCCCGGGACGTGCAGCGGAGCTGAAGGACTTGCCGTACCAAGACCAAGACGACCTGTGGTAGTTAGAATCATCGACGTTGAGTTATTGACCCCAAATCTGAGGTCGGTTTTGTGATGTTCCCGATCCATGACGCGTTCGCTGTGGTTGATCGATTGTCATTATGGACTTGGATCTGAAAGTGAACAGGATGCGTATTCGACCCGGTTAGAGTCATCATTCGTGTGTAAGAACCTCCAATCCACTATCAGTGATCGAGAAATATTCATTCGTTGCTGTAGAGTTGATCCCAAGCTCTGTCAGCGATCCTACTGCTGCTATATAACATTGGTTTCCATACGCTAAAAACCCATTGATAACGCCGGAGCAGCTGATATCCCCACTCGTTGACAGATTATTGAGCGAGAGGGAAGTCGGTATAGATGTTAAAAAGCTTGATAGGTCATAATACGTCGAGCCCTGGTGCAAGTCCGTGCAGGTCAGAGTAGTAGCCGTTACCGAGCTGAGGCCTCCGATATTCGAGCTTGGGTCGCGTAATAGGAACTTATTTGGCGTTGCGGTACCAAAACTAACTCCGTTTATGTATTCAAGAAGTCACTAATCGTATTCTGGCGATATTCTCGACAATCGATGTAGCTTGAAATGCCTGTTATCGATATCGAGCGCGATAATCCACTGAACGATAAATTTCCATCGATCGTAAGACCCGATAAAGAGCCGAGAGACGTTATTTTGGGTTGGGATCTGGTTTGTAACGTTCCAGTAATATTAGAAGTTCCAAAGCTATTAATTCCGCTGATATTGCCGGACGAATCGAGAATCAAAGCCTTGCTGTACGAAAGCAGTTCCCGCTATTACTCCGCTAAGGTAGCCCATCCTCTAATCATCCTTGCTCAAATATAGGTCTGCGCATAATCGTATGTTCGATAACCACTCGAGTCTAACGAAAGAAAGAATGAAGGATTATAAATGGATGATTGAAATGTAGGCTGTGGATATGAAAAACCGGAACTCATTTTGTTTAATCCCATATAGATCAAATGATTTTAGTCATGAGTGCTATTTCTGACTTCGGGGCTTCGATTCCGAAAAAAATCAAGTCTGCTTCGATGGGTGATATCCCCGCATTGGAAATGAAAGCTTTGCTTAGAATGGTTATGTTCGGTCCAAGCCGAAGGAAAGGGAAGAACAATCTTTGTATGTTTATTCTCAAGCATTCGTCTCACGTATTTGCTCATCTAACTATTATTGCTCGTAATTCCCATCAAAGCTAATCCCATCAGCTTTATGAGTATCTCCGGGAAAAGTTGGAAGAATTAATCACATTTGCTGACCCAGATAGCCCTCCTAAAGTAGATCAGGTGCGTCATACTCCATCAAGCTCCAACAAACCGGAGCTTGTTATCATCGATGACTATAGCAATGATAAACTACTTCAGAAGAACATCTTCTCTCATTACTATACACATGGGCGACACTTTAAACTCTCAGCCATATTCCTAAGCCACAGCTACTTTGCCACTGATAAGATGATTCGGTTGAATTTGGAGTACGTAGCGATTCTAAGAGCGAATTCAAAGCGTGATTTACAGATGGTTGTAATGGATTTTAACATCAAAGGCGTTGATGAACGATTAATCGTCTATTCTAAGGGTGGTTTCAGATCCGCTCGACTACTGAGATCTAGCGGCTGCTGGCTTCATCGACGCAGCCTCTCGAACACGTGAGAGCGAGAGGGCGCATCCTCAGGATCTTAGGGTAGTTTCGGGGCCGATAGATTGCGATAGAGAGTATAAAGGCTAAAACGAGCTGATCTTCATAAAACAAATATTATGGATATCATAATTACTACAAGTAATAGGAATGTGCATTTACATTTTGGATAGTGGATTAAAGTGTAAGGCAAAGCCATCGCAAGAGCGTTGTGGTATGCACACATTATCGAAATTTCCGCCCACTGAAAATTTATCACCAGAAGTCAGTGAAGATGTGATGCAAAAATAAATTCAGCTCCGATGAATGAAATAATCACTCGTTTGTGCGGATCATCGATGGAGAGATGGAACTTTGCAAAGCACTATAATAAAGAAAAACATTCGAAGTGGATCAAGACAATGCCATATCCGCAAGACGCTAAAGCAAATTAGTCACACCGATTCTAATTATATATATTGGCTTCGTAAAAACCCATTCGTAATTGACAAATGTCCTAAGCTACTCAAGGAACTTAATTAAGCGATATAATATATTTAATTTTTTGTGCCTATGACAAAAATTACTAAAACATTTTCTAAGCAGTGGTAAAATCTAAAATTGTCCCGGTTAAGCGATCCAGCGCTAGCTCTTGTTCATTCACAACCAATACAAGCATGTTGGTTGCCTGGTAACCAGCGTTAGCTCTTGTTCGCTCACAACCAATACAAGCATGTTGGTTTCCTGACAACCAGCGTTGACACCCTGAACCTGAATAGCCTGCGGTACATCACGCTCCATCAGGTGGCTAACGTCAGCGATAAGGACGCGGTTAGTTAGAGACCACGTCTGATAGTCAAGAAGACCATTCACCAGATCGGGCGTTAGATCACCGTTAATCGAAGCAATCTTAGCGATCTCGTTAGTAAAGTGGTGGAAGTCATAGTCATGGCTGATGTCGAAAGTCTGTTGCGAACAAACGCGGACGTTAAAGTTGCGAATGCTCGAGCCAGGGTGAAGAGTCCAAGGAGCCGAATCGAAAGGACTCTGAAACGCTTGGACAGCAGCAGAAGCAAAACAACCGGTCTGTTCGGCAAAAGGAGGGAGGATAGCATACTTAGCGTTTTTAACAGAAGCCGAAAGCTGGAGATCAAACGCAGCATTGAGCTGAGTCGACGGCTTACCAATACCAGCGCGCTGGTAGAACCATTGGGCATAGGAATCGTTGTATCGAACCTTTTTAACGGGCTTAGAGACGATGGCCTGAGGGTCCTCCAAATGAACGAAAGGAACATACAGTCGAGAAGTGGTGGAAGGCATGTAGGCTCCAACAATTGTAGCCTCAAACGAGTTAGCCACAGCACCCCAAGAAACTGCAATGGAATCAGCGACACTGCGAGCATTGTACATTGGATTTGGATTGGTCGCAGAAGCAACCATTGCTGGACATACATTGCCACTCGATTATGTTGTTCCCGTTAGCGTCATATTTCTCGATGCATCAACATCAATAGCTAAAGTGCCTTGGCTAACGCGGAAACGAAGGCGAATATGTGGATCAGCCATCAAGTCAAGCTCCTTGAAAATCGGATGTAAATCAACAAGCTTAATATTCAGCATATAGCTCCACGTCCCCATAATAGCACCAGGTGAATCAGCGCCAGCTACGAACGCACCGCGACCAAGTTGATTTACTATGGTAGTCGTGGCAGACGCAGCACCAGTAGAAGGCCACGACGTAGATGAGTCAGCTCCAGCATTTGAAGGGATAGAGATAAGACGCTTAGTAAAACCATCTTTTGCTACCTATGACGTAGCATAAATAGTACCGGCGGGGAAGGTAGTAGAGACTGCTGTGTCATTCAAATACCCGTCTCCGGTAGTAGCGGCTGCACTACTGTACTTGGTTGATTGAGCAGCATTTGGGTATAGAAACGCTTCAGCACCATGCTTCGCAACATACTGAGGGCTGTTCCCAGTCTGAGCACGGATATTGCTCCAAAATAGCTTGTAGTCTGCCATCGAGACAATGGTTTTACCATTGAGCTCAAGCGACATCGAATCGATGACGTTAAAGTGCCACTTTTGAGACCAACACAAAATCGGTTGGCGGTATTATGTATATTTGTAGCGTGCGTGTTCTTCATCGAAACCTTGTACGGTAGGATAATGTAAGCATCGCGGAGACAGGCAAATTCCACACTACCATTAATCTGGGACGTAGCGTCGATAGTGAAAACACCGTTTTGGTACGAACCTTGGTTAAGATCGATAACATAAGACACGAGCTTGCCAGAGGAGACCTTAATCTATGGATCACTCTTGAGCGAGCTCTGGTGAAGATATTGGTCGGAAAGTTGTGTTTCAGACATCGTTGAATCCATGTCTTGATCAAAATAGTTTTGTTAAATTTATTATTATGAACAGCCTTGTTAAGCCAATTACCAGTGATCACGATCTCATTGAACTCGCTGAGAAGATGGTGGCTCAGCTCGATAATATTTTCGAATCAAGTGAGATCTCTCAGCCGCTTCCGAAGAATGGATCATATCTGATTTTACTACGACAACCTAATATGGATGTAGGACACTGGACAGCTGTTCACAAAGGCAAATATTTTGATAGCATGGAAGAAGCGGCACCTACGAAATATGGAGTCTGGCGATATAATACCAAACAATATCAAAGTTCGTAGGCCAAATGCGGACCCTTCTTTTTGCTTTAGTTATATTTCAAGCAGCGCAACAGACCTGATGTATTTAAGAACATGAAAGATCTGAATTTCTCAATTCTGTATTAAATATGTTTTAGGGAATATAGCAATAATGTATCGCGATTTGACGATTTCCAGCGATGTTCCAGCCGCCAAGCTGACCAAAGCTCTCAAGACAGGCAATCTAAGTCTTACTGCAAACCAACTCAAGGGTACAGGCTCTGTTATCCATCTCCACCCAGCTTCGTATGAGAAAGCACTAAAGGCTCGCAAGGCAGGTCGTGGTGTTAGACTTGATATCACACGTCATGATATCAATAAAGGATACAAGAATCTCCAAGGGGGATCCATTTGGAGTAAAATCAAACTGGGTGATCGACAGCATTCAAATTTGTATAAGACAGCGGATTGCTTTCAAAGGGATTAGCCGCGGCGGTTCCGGCTCTTGCGTCAGCGTTTGGGGCCTCTCAAGCAGCAATCCCAGCGAGAGCAGCTATTAAGTCATTGATCAGAGTTGGTTTAAACGACTCTGAAAGTGATATAGAGAAAGTGGGAGGACGTGTATCTATAGCGGATGTTAAGACGGCACCAAAACGGCTCTCGGGTATTCTAAACGTAAGAGGGTTCTAACTGGTGCAGTCGATGCAGGTGAGAAGTTTCTACTATCAAAAGCAAGCAAACGGAACATGAAACTCTAATCAAGTCAGTGCGAGGTGAGGTAAAGAGACGTTATGGTATGGGTGTTTCTAGGAAATTAGCTAAAGACAGTCCTGAAATGAAGGCTAAAATGGCCGCTTTGCGTGCTAAACGGCGAGGGGGAAATTTTCGGTTTTGAGAGTTGAATAAAAAAATTAGTCATTCGATTAGTTATTTTTTTGGACGAAGCAGAAGCATGATGCTCAATGAAGTGTCGTGGAACTTAACCATTGTGGTATTCTAAGTAAAGGGTGAGATCTTAATTGATGTGCGTGCTCCATTATGAAAGTTCATCCAGGTATATTGACCTGGCTTATAGCTGATTGATTGACCTACCTGAGCATCACCACGATCAAACACACTAAGAACATCACAAGAGGCTACATACTCGTTCTTACTTAGATCACAACAAACGATGTAAGAAGATGTAGGATGGATCTGAGGAGTTGTATTACTGGACTGAGCACTTGAAAGCCGTTGCAGGCACTGAAGGATACGTACCAGTAATTAATCCTACTAATTTACCAAAAGCGACATTATCGATGATGATGCGAGGGACACGCGTTGTTGATGACAAACCAGTACCGCCTGACGAATAACGACCACTTGCCGGAAGTGCCACCAGCAGTAGGAAGTGTCGTTGACGTAGTGCTAAAATCGAATCGGGCAGCATAATCACACCGTTTTCCGTTAGTTGAATATAGAAAACGATTCACCCGATGAATTAATTAAATACGCTCCATCATTTACGAGAGCTGTCTGGATGCTTTGATTTATATCAGTATAGTAAAGCCCACCCATCAGGCAAGTTAACAGATACAGTGGATGTGGTTCCAGCTGTCGAAACTTCAATTTTAAGGAATTATTCCAGAATTGAGGGGCGTCAATGTTGTATTCAGAGTTATACATCGAAGTCTCTTGAACTGAACATGCTACATCTTTAAAATCGGCATCACTACCAGGGAAGCTGTATTTCCATGTGCAGCTGTATCCGTCTTGAACGAGGTTAGTGGAATCGAGTTTAACAAACGAAGTGCACATGATTAATGTATATTGATTCATTTAAAATATTTTCAAATTATTGCTCAATATCGATCGGCCAATCGATGTTATATCTGATTTGACCTTTGACTGAATCCACGAACAGCATCTGGTCTTTGCGCTCCGTTGCTTTATTGTAGTAATAGACGATTGATCGTTCATCAACGCCTTTGATGTTAAAATCCATTACAACCATCTGTAAATCACGCTTCGAATTCGCTCTTAGAATCGCTACGTACTCCAAATTCAACCGAATCATCTTATCAGTGGCAAAGTAGCTGTGGCTTAGGAATATGGTTGAGAGTTTAAAGTGTCGCCCATGTCTATAGTAATGAGAGAAGATATTCTTCTGAAGTAGTTTATCATTGCTATAGGCATCGATGATAACAAGCTCCGGTTTGTTGGAGCTTAATGGAGTATGACGCACCTGATCTACTTTAGGAGGGCTATCTGGGTCAGCAAATGTGATAAACTCTTCCAACTTTTCCCGGAGATACTCATAAAGCTGATGGGATTACCTTTGATGGAATTACGAGCAATGATAGTTAGATGAGCAAATACGTGAGGCGAATGCTTGAGAATAAACATACAAAGATTGTTCTTCCCTTTCCTTCGGCTTGGACCGAGCACAACCATTCTAAGCAAAGCTTTCATTTTCCAATGCGGGGATATCACCCATCGAAGCAGACTTGATTTTTTTCGGAATCGAAGCCCCGAAGTCAGAAATAGCACTCATGACTAAAATCGTTTGATCTATATGGGATTAAACAAAATGAGTTCCGGTTTTTCATATCCACAGCCTACATTTCAATCATCCATTTATAATCCTTCATTATTTCTTTCGTTAGCCTCGAGTGGCTATCGAACATACGATTATGCGCAGAATTATATTTGAGCAAGGATGATTACAGGATGGGCTACCTTAGCGGAGTAATAGCGGGAACTGCTTCGTACAGTAAAGTTTCGATTCTCGATTTGTCCGGCAATATCAGCGGAATTAATAGCTTTGGAGCTTCTAATATTACTGGAACGTTACAAACCAGATCCCAACCCAAAATAACGTCTCTCGGCTCTTTATCGGGTCTTACGATCGATGGAAATTTATCGTTCAGTGGATTATCGCGCTCGATATCGATAACAGGCACTTCAAGCTACATCGATTGTCGAGAATATCGCCAGAATACGATTAGTGACATAAACGGAGTTAGTTTTGGTACCGCAACGCCAAATAAGTTCCTATTATGCGACTCAAGCTCGAATATCGGATGCCTAAGTTCGGTAACGGCTACTACTCTGACCTGCACGGACTTGCGCCAGGGCTCGACGTATTATGACCTATCAAGCTTTTTAACATCTATTCCGACTTCCCTCTCGTTCAATAATCTGTCAACGAGTGGGGATGTCAGCTGCTCCGGCGTTATCAATGAGTTTTTAGCGTATGGAAACCAATGATATATAACAGCAGTAGGATCGCTGACAGAGCTTGGGATCAACTCTACAGCAACGAATGAATATTTCTCGATCACTGGTAGTGGATTGGAGGTTCTTACACACGAATGATGACTCTAACCGGGTCGTATACGCATCCTGTTCACTTTCAGATCCAAGTCCATAATGGCAATCGATCAACCACAGCGAACGCGTCATGGATCGGGAACATCACTAAACCGACCTCAGATTTGGGGTCAATAACTCGACGTCGATGATTCTAACTACCACAGGTCGTCTTGGGCTTGGTACGGCAAGTCCTTCAGCTCCGCCGCACGTCCGTGGCAGCAACCGTTTTGTTTTTGGAGCAGGCGGAACGACAGTGTATCGCCTCAGAACAGATAGTGGAGCTACATAATCCGCTCTTGGCCCGATCACATATTCAGTAGCGGGTATATTCGGAGGATACCTTGCGTGTACAGCCATGACGATGACGAGTGACCACAGATTGAAGAGGAAAATTCAATCGTGTCCGCTCGAACGCATCAAAAGACTCTACGATAATTGTGATGTAGTTTTGTATGACTGAATTGAATCAGAAAATAGACCTGGTCAAGAGGTGGGCCTCATAGCTCGAGACCTTGTCTCAGCCCACCTAGCCGATTTAATCAGTGTTTTATATCGTGAGGATACCCAGGAAGGCGAAGACCCATCGTTTGAACCAGCCAAAACACAGCTTATCGTTGATTACAGTAAAATTGCAGTGTACAATATGAAAATGATTTAACATCTCTTGATTCGAATTGAGGACTTGGAAGCAAAGGTATCATCTCTAATATAGACCATGCCATTCACATTTCGTATTTTGATGAGAAAAGAAAGAAATATACTGTTGTGTTTGATGATGGTCGAGCTGTATCTTTTGGTGGTATTAAGCGGTATTAAGTGGTAACAGTATCGAGACATCACGCCATTGAGAGCATTCAGTAAGTACGACCATGGTAATATTGAGCGAAAACAGGCATGGACTTATCGATACTTCCAAACCATACACCGCTTCTTGGTTCTCAAAAACGTTTCTTTGGTAGCGTATAGACCACAGTCCTAATAACCATGGGTTGCGGACCAAGCAAAGTGCTAAAAACGAATTTAACAACTGATGAACCAGGTCAAATCGTTGAACCAGCACTTCTGCGGGCCGATCAAATTGTGGCTCTGGGAGATAGCGTTTTCCTACCTACGAAAAATGATAAAGGAGAGTCAGCTATCGTAGAAATATCAGTGAATCAAAAAAAATAGAGATTTACAAGGGATACAAGAATCGCCTTGTAAGAGAAGGAATTTCTCCTTAAAGAACTGACGTTAAATAGCAAAGGTCTTCACAGTTTTATCTTTTTTCTTTCTTGTTTAAGCCCATCCTCTTCCTCCCTCGGTCTGAGTCGATGCATCAACCTTCTTTATGGACTTATCAAGGTCAGTAGCCCAAACAGCTGCCTGAGTCTTCTGTGGGCGGTCATGAATGATGAGGTTTTTCATGATAGATTTTAGCTCGGCTTTGTTGAGATCCGCGCTGTCTCCTTAGCTACCTGCTGAGCTGGAAATAATTCGGCGGCTGAAAAAGTAACATGTTTCTATAGTAGTCGCGTAATAATTTCCTTGAACTCTTTATCATCAATCATTCGATTGCTGTACATATCCACACTAAGCGATTTAAGTTGCTTAACGATTGAAAGATTATCACTACCGAGTTCGAGTTCATCTTTTAGCTTAGCATATTCAGCTTTTAGAGCTTCTAACGGATCCTCAATCCGATCATGGAAACTGTACTGAAGATGAGTAATCGCGAGAATCTCCTTGAAGATCTTTTTATCATCGATACTGAGCTTGTCGTACTCTGTCTGATCGATATGCTGATTGAAGGCGAGAGCTCGAATTATTGAGTGTAGCGGATCACGGATTACGCGTTTTGGTCCGCACTTGCGTCGATTCGGCTGAGCAATGACCAGAGTTTTGTTATCAAGATCAGGGATCCGAATGTACTTCGAACCGAGCTGACGATAAATGTATACGGATGGGGTGGCTATACCTTGGATCTCATTGAGGTTGTATGTTCTTCCGCGACGGACAACTTCTTTAAGCGGGGCGACACCAGCACCTCTTTACCCACGACCCTGAAGCTTCCGCTTAAACCCTGACCCCACGCCTGGCGTCGTTACCTGATCAACCTCGGTGTAGTTTTTATCATCGGAAAAGCCTTTAGCCTTAATTTGATAGACAGCCTTGGTCGCTTTCATGGCAGCGGTTGCCGCCTTCAACGCTGACCTGGCAGGTTTTAAGTTATTACCCTTTAGTGCTCGCTTCGCCTCATCATATTTCCTCTGAGCTTCGCCATACTTCAAGAATGCAGCTTCTGTGCAGCGGGGCTGCCGTAGCTTTAGCGTCAGAGGAAGACGTTCGACTCAAAGAGTCACTAATACTAAGTTCCTTATCCAAAGGACACTTACAGCCCAAAGACCAGGGCTCAAAGTTAATACCTTAACTTTTATGCTTCAAAACCAGAAGTGAATTATTTACTATTATTGCGGCCAAGCCGCCTAGGGGTAAATGTATCTCTTTAACTATCTAGCATAGTTAAACCTAATCAAATGCATAACGTGTGGCTTTCAGCCAACGTACTGAGAGACCTTGTTAACTCTCCAACTTATGTACTGAGAGTTTGTTAACTCTCCGGGTACTTCGTACCCCTGTGTGTTCCACACCATGTAACCCCGTTACACTCTCCCTCACTAAGATGAGAACATTCCGTTCTCGAACTTTCCTCAGCGAGGTCACGTCTTGTCAAGACGACGGAGGTCACTAGACCTCACCTGTGCGTTCTGCAGCTCTACGAGCTCACAAACGCGTTCGCATCCTTGATGCCTGGCACTCCCACTCCGACCCACGGCCCAACGTCTCCAGCGCGTCGCGCCGCCCCTGCCTCGTCGGTCCCAGACCCCCAACTGCGCTCCGCAACTGCTCCAAGAGCATCTTCGTCTCTTTCGGTGGCGGAGTACCACCAAGAGTATCGCCGTCGACACGGTCAACGCTCCATGAGCCGTCAACAAGAAGAGAGCAAAGCTCAAAGCTCGTCAGAGCCGCGGGCGCCGCCCAGAGGGAACGATGGTCTGTTCTCGGAACTCGAAGAGGGCGAAGTCGATTACGACGAGCCCATGGGTAGTGAGGATCACTCCAACCCAACCTCTCCGAGGTCGCACGCTGGTGCCGCGTCTTCCCTAGCTTCCTCTGTGAGGTCTAGCCGCTCAACGGCGCGATCTCCAACAAGAAGAGACCTGCGGACACCGCATCCGTTCTCTGAACGTTCGAATCCGTTTCGCTCGCTGCGCGATGCGCCACCGCTATCGTCGCGGTATGACGAGGAAGATCGATACGATCACAACGTCATTACGAATGACCTGGACGAGGCCCAAGGCCGTCAGTTGTCCAATGAGCAGCGCTCGCAGTCGTTCCGACCTGTGGTCCGACCACTTGTTCTAACGTCACGCCGTGACTACGGCTTCCAGCCGCGGAACCCTGCCGAAGCGGCCCGCCTCGCGGCGCAGCAGCCGCTGAACACGTACACGTGTGGGCCTGCGGCCTCGACTGCTGATGAGCAAGTGCAACGGCACCGGCTCCGAGAGCGATATCTGACTCCACAAGTCACAACTCCTCAGGAGTATCAGGCGCGCCTGCAGATGCAGCTAAACCGCCAACCGGTTCCCTCTATGCGAACCATCCCGGTTGTTCTCAACCCTGGGGAATCCCAGCGTGCTTATATAGCACAATTCCGAAGCTGGGTGGAGGGAGCTCGACGGCTCCCCTCCTACAATGCTCTTCGAGCAAGTTTCTCTGAAACTGATATTCGTCTTGAGAGACGTTTGCGCTTAGACTTCGCTAAGTCGAAAGCACGTCGACGAACACTGGGACCCCGTCCCCATCACCTCGAGGCGTCACCACCTCTTGCTCATGCTGCGAGCACCGCTCTTTCCTATGAGCCGGCTGCTCCAGCCACTGGTCGCAGCTTGAGCTCAGCCACCGACCTGTCATCCCCGCGTTCTAGCGGCGGGAAGCGCTCGGCGCCTGACGACGCGGTCGTACGCCGTAGCGGCGGGGCAGTGAGTGTGCCCGATCAAAAGCGTCGACGACGTCAGGGCAGTCCTGCCTGAGGACAACCTCAAACTCCCAAGAGTTTTGTGAGTGAGGATAACCCCTCCATTTCACAAGGTACTGAGTACGACCCTGGCGCCTGCGCCTCGCCACCAGGCGTTCCAC